GACAAGTAACGATTTGTATAATTCAGTCCTAGATAGATATTTGCTATACTTACATAGTCCATAAAATTCAAGTAACCCTGGATTATTATAGCGATTCTTTTTCTTGTACACTCGTTATTACAGTAAAATTTACTCACATACTCATATTTGTAACTATTCAATAGCGTTTACGTTGACTCATACGCTTTAGTTACGTATACGAAATGTAACAACAAAAAACTTTTATATATTTGGCAACGTTTATATACTGTTATATAATCGATACGAATTCACAGAATTGACATTTACCGCATCGACACGGCCTGGGTGGCCAAACATCTAGTTTAGGGAAATGCGATCTATGGTCTTTAAACTAGGCGTACGGATTGACGGTGCCATTTCTACTGTTGTTGGATTTTTATTTTTTACCTATTGTGATTTCTTGAGCTTTCTTAGTCAGTAGGATATCAGACGCGTATCGTCCATTAGCTGTTTCTACTACTTTCCCTACAAAAGCAAAGATTTCTGTTAAACAAAGTACATCAAGTTATAGATCAAGCTCCAACCAGCAAAACGTTTTTTTTTCATACGTGTTGTTGATATGTTTAATAATATTTGATCTATATGGAACAAAAACCGTTAACAGCGACGCAATAACAGGTAATACTGAAAGTTCATCATAATTAGAAATTCTGACAGATGACTTTAAATAAGAATCGTGTGTTGGTGAAAAATAGCTCTCTAGTATGTTAGTCTATCGCATATGTGAAAATAACGTCATTTCGTTAATGGTCTATAAAGGGCGAAATTGTACTTAATCATCCATAGTGAAATATGGGACACGCCCTTCTCGAAATTAGAAGCTCTCTGTTAAGCACATAATGATTATACGTGAAGTCTCCCTGCGCTTTTATGCAGAGGGGCCTACGGCTTTTCGTACGTAGGCGCTTCGTATGTACTACAACGTATCCGGCGAAACGTCGACGTTTTTCAGTCAGATACAACTTCTTCTCGAAAACAAATAATTTTGTTATTCTTTTATTATTTTATTATTATTTATTATTAGGTGCTGATTGCACACGTATACGCTATTAGACCGAACAACAAAAGACCCGTTCTATTAGATGGGAACGTCCACGCCAGCTGTAGCTTCACGGGGCACTGTCTGACGTAAAACGCACATTGCACGTTGCAGTATCAAAAAATATTTTAATATAGGTTAAAGAACTTCCAATAAATATTAACATTGCACGCCGTACAGTGTAGATCAATTTTTTGTCTTTAATTGGTTGTACCAAAAACTAACGTTCAGATTGCCGAGTTCACATTTGTTGCAAGATAACGATAGTTACCATAATTAGGAGAAATGACCAGTGAAGCTAAGCAATTATACGGACATTCTTTACAAGCACGTGAATCATGGTCATCAACAACGTCAAGGATCTGACTGAAGACAGTATTATATATACATGTCCGTTCTTTATCTATTACATATTTATTAAGTTAAGACGTCATAGCTTTAGTATATCACTGAGTAGGTCCAAGTGACAAGGAAACGCGCAAATTTCCACCTAAATTACTTTCTAAAACAAAATATGGCCCAGTTACAGAAACAGTTACAGTTTAGGTTTGACATCGATATTGAATTACCACATAAACGGCTACCCAAAGCATACGGCTGGCACCCAGTATGGTACGTGCAATGCCGTATGGTAAGAAATTTGGTAGAACAGGAAATTTCGCACTTTACGGCCCCAACGCTGCGTGGGATGTCGGGGGTTATGGTTACAAGCTTCAGTTACCGCCTGGTTCCGTAGTAGCTTTGCTATGCTTTGCTACAATGTCGTATCAATGCGAGAATAGAAACTATTTTGGAACATTGGCTGGAGATTTTTTATGTAAAATACACTCTATCTAGAAATTACTTGGTATCTACGCGGCAAAATCCTAGAATGCTGCAATGTTAACGCCATGTCTGGTAGCGGTCTTTTATTCTCGACATTTCGAATGGTGTTCTTTTATCACTCGGCAAATGACTGGTAAGTATGTAATATCGATTGTAACAATTCGAATTAGGTATATTTTACTCTAAATACTTCTTGATTATAATTGCTTATCTTCTAAAGGGTAAATAATAATAAATATTTTAGGACTTACGTGTCACACTTTGTGAGCAGCAAAGTCCTTATAGGCTAATAAAATTTTAACTAAATACTGATTCTCTCTTTCTCAAAGGACTCTTACAACTGGCAAACGCCGAAAATGAACCTTTTTTTGTCAGCGTTACTGAGCTTTTATTTTATGTTCACAACTCCTCAGAATCACCTGCTATTAGGTACAGCACCAAAGATTTATTCCACTAAAAGTCTAATGGCAGTAAATATAGCTAGAATTAGCTGGCCTTTTCCCAACAAAGCCATGAAACGGCATGATAATAACATACAAGCAACTATTAACCGTTCTGATAATACGTTTGTTATTACTTCTTCGCATTATATATTCCTGATTGTTATTACCTGGTAATTTTTGCCGACGCTGAGATTTGAACCAGTGTGACAATACGCTTATTGGATATGATGCTTCCAAGAAATGTGCATTAACCATGAAGAACATGCCGTCTTTAAAATCAAAAATAGATAAACACTTTCTTCAATGGCAGATCAGTAACATCCTAAACCTGGTGCATTGTGAAAAACAGACAATCTAGAACCGCGTAATATAGATTAAAAAGTATTCAAACCAGGAAAATCCAGCTTTGGCTATACGGGAGCATGCTTTTGAATATCGGACTTTTATATATATACGGATTATATATGACTTTATATTTTTTAAAATAAGACTTTAATATATATATATATATATATATATATATATATGGACAATCATCAAATTCCTAATTTTTCCCAGGTTTTCTTATATTTTTTAGAAATTGCCTGTTCTAGCACTTTAAATAAATAAATAGACTAATTCAACATGCAGCTTCCTGCCGAAAATTCGGTAGCGGAAAACAAGGTGACTATCGTCTATTCATTGCCGATTCCACTATTTCCATGGTGTGGCAGGTTTGTCTATGTTTCTCAATCATATTCTGATGAAGTATTAATGAGCAGACCACCAATGTATCTTTAGCTATAAAATTTACCGCCAAACGAGTGATAAGTCTGTTGGTGTTTGCTCTTGCAAGGATACACAATGGGGGCAGATATGCGAAGCCACAGCCATTGAGAAGTCTTCATTGTAAAAACTGGATCGACCTATCTTCTATATACATGAACAATTTTAATGTGTTATATGTACAATAGATCTTACAACCATGCTAGGCTAACAGCTAAATACATGTATAATGCCTAAACTATGCCCTAAACAACGTGCACGTTAATTTCTTCTAAATAACCTAATTATCTCTTAATTAGACAAGGTAACTACTCAAGAGCTCAGGGGAATTCATCTTTCGCTTTAACGTTACCTCAATTGCATGGATAGTAATCCGGCCAAGGTTCACCAGGCAGTAAAGCGCTATTCAAATGGTACATATGAGGATCTAGAGACAGACAATTACCAATCTCCGTGACGATTTATCCGGTTAAGTTTGTTAAGCAGTGAGTTAAAGCTCTAAAAACGCTCAAATATAGGCTCATTGACTAACTGATTGTCTGGCCGACTGCGTACTGACACCACGCTTGACTCATCCCTTATGTCTGTTATCTTTAGAAGGAAAAACGTTGCTGCCATGCCACACGTGTCTGCCGTAGTCGCTGTAATCGGAAGCTTAAGCTAGGCTTTCTTGAATTCGTCCAGGTCGACAAAAATGCGATCAAGAATTCCACCAACATAGAGCTCAGGAACTAGTTAGCGTTTTACGACATTGACAACCACGAAAAAAGGAGGTCGTCGTCAAGCGCTCTAATGAATTCGAAATGAATGACATTTCCAAGGAGAGGTTACGCACGGACAAACTATCCTGTATTATATAGTAGTCTCGAATCTGCAGACATTTCAAATGAAAATCGCTGGACAAAAAGAATTACGATTTTTCCGAGACGTATAATTTAATAAAAACCTACGGGCGGCTAAAGCAATATATGAGAATATTGAATATTCTAGAATATCGTTTTGGTCTAAACTAAGTGTTGATGAAAGGCCTAAGAAAACAGTCTTCATGGAGAAGTCACATCCTGTGAAAGGTCCGATTAATGGTTTAAACATGAACAGTAAAAGTTCCACCTGGTAATACTGTTGAGAGCTCTGATTGCCATAAGTATATTCGATCCTTAATAGCCAAGTTAATTAATAGAATTTGTCAGCTTGAAATGAAAAATACATACAATGCTCCTACTATTTGCTCTTCGGTTAGGGCTGCAATAGCAGCATTTTCTTTATTAGCCCTCTTTATTATCTCAATACTTCGGATATTTTACTTATTCCTACTTTAAAAAATTAAAGTTGATGCGTAAAAAGCGTTTCTCGTTTAAGAAGATTCGTTTCATTGACTGCCAGTAATTTGGCCAACAAAACATGGTCGTTATACCATTTTGGTTGCCACACAGTACAAATATGGTTTAGTGCCGGTCTTGAAAAATATATCTTTTTAATTTTAGAGATTATTTTTTATGAATTGCCCTCATTTATCTAGTTTGTTTCTTCCTTCGATTTTTTAGACTTTTTAGCTTCGATTAGAAGCTTAAAATAAGTCTGACTAGTTCAGTTTCACGAAATTTCATATGTTCATGTAGGATAAACTAAAGTTAGATAACAGTACCTGAAACTTCACTGCAGACTATTTATACGATTCTTTAAAGCCTTGATCGATTTAAACGTTGAATAAAATGTGTAAAATTCGCGACAGGGTCCAATGAAGCGTTGACATATCTGTTAATTATACATTCTCACAGCGGATTTGGAGTGGCGCCAAAAGTTCGAAGCAGACCTGCGCCTAGCTCTTGTCCCTTTCCCTTATCCTCGCTTAGATAGCAGCCGACAACAGCTGATTCTAATCAGCGTTAGCTGCTTCTAACAGCAGTTAGCTGTTTGCTTTTGGAGCGAAGAAACAACTTATGGCGATCAACTAACAACAACTGGTTGTTGGATAGTTGTAGTAGTGGTTGTGGTATAGTGTCGTTAGAATCGTCTCCTTTTGAAGAGTCATCTTTCGAATTCGGAGCTGGCGATCATATGTGATTGTAAAGCGCCTCCTCAGTGACTGCCTATCCGTGTCACGTATTGCTGTTGCCGTGTGACAGCTTATTTTTTAGATTCTAGCTACGCCTATTTCGGATGACTTTATGTGAAAAAAAAACGTGTGAAAAAAAGTAGAAAACAGTGGAGGTTTCTCATCCTCAACAAGCAAGGGCCGGGCGGTCGTCGCACAAAGTTTTCGTCACGTCATCGAATCATTTCGGTCATCGATAGTTTAGACTGGGAAGTACGATTGCAGTACAAATTCAAGACCACTAACTGGTCCCTCATAAGCAAACAACAAGTATCTCATCCCAGTCGAGACAAAAATGAGTTACCAACTCTACCGTAATACAACTTTAGGAAATTGCCTTCAGGAAGCATTGGACGAGCTATTAGGTTCGGCCGTTATTCCGGAAGGTTTAGCATTGCGTGTTCTACAAGAGTTTGATAGGGCGATCAACCATGCCCTTGCCAATCGCGTACGCAGCCGATTGTCTTTCAAGGTAAAATATCCCACCATGAACTAAAGTAAATACAAAATTGGCGTTGCAATCTGACTCGTATAGTTAACAGCGGGTACGTTTTTGGCCACCTAATTTGTCCCTATTTAATGTGATTTGTCTACGCTTAGAACCTATCGCGAGGATTTTCAAGGGGTATGTTTTGACACATCATTATCCTTATTAACACCGTGCTACACATTGCCCATATCATATCCCAGATATATTATACATTGCTATGAGACGAAAGGTAGTCTAAGGTAAAACATGTATCTTAGCATTATTAGGTTTCGGCTACTAAAGCGTAATGTGGTCTTCGTAGCAATATTTGCTTATTCAGTGTGGTCGATATGGCACATGTTTTAGTATTACGAATTAACTGTTTTTAATTCCTTGGATGATTTTCCAGGAAAGCATACATGCTAACTAAAAAACTGAAACATTCATTACATAGCTAACATGTATGTGTTGACAGCCTGAAGAAAAGACTATCACCTATATATCAAAGATGTTTGTATCTGGTCCTTGTGATCATAATGATGGTATAATAAAGACACGTAAAAGTATAGGTACATCCGTTAGTATTTGTTGTCAATGCGATCCTGCTGTAAAGCAGAATCCCTGTCTAGAACAGAGTATTTGTGTATAATTTTACTACTTAAAACGTAAGTGAATTCTAAATTTACATTGGTTTTTTGACGGAACGGAAAGCTTGGATGAACCTTCGGTTCGGAACCTAGCAGAAGATTGCGTCATTCTAATACATTGCATAAATACGGCGTGCTTCGTTTCAGGCGGGCCACCTGGTGTCGTATCGATTCTGCGATAACGTGTGGACTTTTGTCATGAAAGACGTTGAGTTCCGCGAGGGTCAGGAATTAGCTCGAGCGGAGCGTCTGAAGATCGTTGCGTGTGAGGCCAGAGCTCAAGGATCATAGGAAAATGGACTCCTTACTACGTGAAGCTACGTGCTTACAGAAGGCGACATTAGTGGCTTTGGCATTTTACGGGTCCGTTTCTATTTTGGCAAAAAGGTATCTACCAACCAAGAAAGAAGTATAGGAGATCTACGTGTTTTTTTTTCAAATAATAGTATTAGCTATACGCTGAAAGTCCTTCCCAAAATATTTGTTTTCGTCGTATTGAATGGAAGCGCACATATAGACGTTTTTTTTCGAAATTAATAACATGATAAAATAATAGCTAATAATAATAAATAAAAACGAAAAAATATTACAAGGAAAATATATACACAAATTAAAATAGAAAAATGTAAACAAACATAATAATAATAATAAAAATTAATAAGTAAACAAATATAGTATAGTAGTAGTACAAATAAGTAAAAAAAACAATCAAGTAAAATTAAATAAATTAAAAACAAATAAAAAATTAATATAGTTTTTTGAATATTTCAGGTCATAGTGTGCACAACGTATTGTGAAAGGCAAATGGTGTAATTTAACAAGGTAACTTGCTGCAGCGTGTCAGCTAAATGAAAAAAAACCAAAACAGCCACGCACGTTGACGTCAACTGCACAGATAGGGCAGAAGAATAAAAGTGTACTAAGTTCCGTAAGCATATTTTATCAAGAAAAGCGAGGGGCAAAGTGAAGTTACAAATAAAGCCGATATCGAGGTTTCGTTTTCAGTGTGCCCCTATATGTACATAATACGGGCTGAATAGATATATGCTTGGGGATCTAGGCTAACCGTTTCGTCTCGTTGATTTTTGAAAAACTACAAGATCCGCGGATCAAAATACTTGCGCTTCTAAATCGCATCTCAAATTATTTATTGACATACGCTTAGTTCAACAAGTATATGTGGATAAAATACCAACCCTTAGGAATTCGAACTAAAGAGGGATCAGTTCTGTGTTGTTTTTGTGGTTTTTAAAAAAATCGGGGCGGAAATGTTCAATTGCGTTCGATTTAATGACCTAAAAACGTTTCTTTAAGAAGCTTATGCTACGATATATATATATACGATAACTGTAGGCTAGATCGCTGAGATTCATAGCAATATTTGTAATGAGTATTTTGAGAAGCATTGAGCACATTAATACCTTATAATTTTTGAATACTTATAGAGAAGCATTATTATAGAAATGAAGTAAAAACAGGCGCGCGTTGCCGCGACAAACGTTGTGGAGCGAGTGTTATTGTGCATCCTTTTAAAGGAGTTAAGTGAATCAGAAGATGCTGAAAAATTGGGAATGGAAAAGGCAATGGGTTTTGTTCGATGATGATTGTAATGTGGCATCATTACAGTGGATGCTTCTGTGAAGATTTGCCTTCGAATGCGCAAATCAGTTTATACTGAACTAGCCTTTGTTTTAATGAAGGCGAGGGGTCTTACACGGCAGCTCCATGGTCAATTCGAATTTTGACTATCGTATAAATATAAAATATATAAAAGAAAAACATATACCGAAATGTGAACACGGCCACACAGAAACGCACATGTGTTCCATGAAGCAAGTGTTCTACTCGACGAATATCGCTAAAATTTATTGAAGAAAAACAGAGGAGGAACTGCAAGAAGCGAATGTACAGTTGAAAAGCAAATAAACGAGTTAGTATACTGATTTATTAAAGATAAGATCTTATGTTTTTTAATACCGCAAATATGTTACTATTTAAATAACGATGTCTTGAAGTTAAATGTTATCTTAAATGCATTAGACATTAGTTGTATTAACGAAATGATTTCATGCGCAGCAAGTCAGAAATTCGAAACTGATGCGTCTAATCCCGTTTCGTTCTGTTTGTAACCTTTTCTTTAGGAATTTAACCCTTCTACTCTTTTACGTAATAAATTTGTATTTCGTTGAATTGTTTTTGGTTCTTTTTTGTTACAGGTCTTCATTGGAACTAAGAGTACTTGTGCTCGATGAAGCGAATAATAAATAAGTTATAGTTCGTTGACAGATTGAATATTCGTTCTTTATTACAATTATTATTAGGCTTATGTTTAACTTATGGCAGTCAAGTATAGGGTACACGTACGTGATATAATGGTTTGACTCTTCGAGTATCATTAACGTCTAAAGGCGGCTGACCGTTTGAAGATAAATACTAATGCGTGGTTTTTTAGTAGAGTAGTAGAGTTTTCCAAATGTGGGAACTGAAATAGTACGCGTAACAATATGATGTTTAATGTGTGCAGCTGGTATAGCTTGGCATATTTACATAAGTTCTTTTTTGTTGCTGAACTGTAGTAAGATTCAGAAATCTAGTCTCCTAAGTTGCGACAAGACTGGCACTACTTGAATAGATAGTAAAAAATGCTCCTGAACTGTTTTTCTTATCATAAGGGAGAAGGATAGGTGGGTATAGGCTATGATATCGCTATATGCATTTTCATTCGAAAAAAAACAAGTATTCAAAGTAATACGAGAGTCCTATATTAACTAAAAAAATTAAAATTGTTTAAAAGGCGTTTAATGTTCACATCACACGCAATGACTGATAAAGCGTTTTTACGTAGCAACTTAAATGGCAAACCATAACGTAGGTGGAATCTTTAGTGAAAAAATACCAATTTCACCAGTTCATTGATCTAACTGCATAATACGTGTTTATCACATTGTTAAAAAACTGGTGATCTGAAACCATTTAGAGCTAACGTTGAGAAGAAACTGCGAATGTCGTAACCCTTCTAGACTTCGATCTTCGACCTGTGTACAGGTGATTTTTATCATACTCGCCCCCTTTGAGCTAACATCACATGCATAACGTGACATGCTGCTGCAACCAAACACATCGCCTGAAACATAGTAAACACTGAGTATTTAATTAATTTTTATTATAGATGAAAAGACCATAAAATTTAGCAATGAAAAGGTCGAAAGTTAATAGACGCAAACCTTGAGTTGCATTTTTTGTGCTGGTTACATTCTACATCCAGCTTAACTATATGGCTTGCCGTAGCCAACTCCTGTTGTCTAACCAACAACCAGCAGTGGCTGCGTAATTTTACTTCAAAGCAGAATTAGTTACCTTATGGTTCTGTACAGGCTATTTAAGTAGTCGGTGGACGATGATGTTTTTGAAACTTAAGGAATTACTTAGAAACTTAAGGAAACTTAAGAATTAAGAGTGCACGAGACATGTATCTACTAATCATCTCCTTTCAAATACCCCTCTTGGATTCATAATATTGGTGTATAAGGGATGACCTTGAGCATGGGTATCCAACCATTTACTTGTCGTCTGAGAAACAAATCTTCGAACACTATTTTTTGTTGCGTCACTACTGAGAAAAATTAGCTTACAAACGAAACATATTATTATGCCGATTGATTTTTTTTATTTTCTTCTCTTTTAGTTTATGCCTATTACGACTGTTCATTTCAGCCAAATTGTGCTATAAATTAAAGGCAATAGGTGCCTAAACAGACCATTCTTAGGCCCTCTTCGTTATCGAATAGTTTTTGTTTATTGTCATCGATTGGGGAAGCTGATTCTTTTTCAAAAATGTTGTGCCCCAGAATCACCTGCATTCACTTTTATATAAACAGCGAGACTGGGTTGCACCGCTTTCAGAATCACAGATAACCGATATGCGTGTTTCTTAATAGAGCATTTTTAGACTGTGTTATTTTTCAAGTATTTTATTTCCTTACTAGTTCAACAACTAAAATTAGTCTACGCTTGCATCTTGTTAGCTTCCCTAATGTGTGATCAAAATGTTCATTATAGCAGAGAGCGACAAGGGCTATAGTGGTTAATTTGATACTACAGGAATTGCTTGATGAAGTTATACAGTGCTAATTCTTATTCTAAAGTTTTCATTTATTAAATTTTTATACTTGCCGCGCCAGCTACAAGGACAGCTTCATTGTAGTCCTTAATGAGCATCCCGACGCCTCCCATAAGATACATTCCAAAGCCTGCCCAATGCAGGATCATAAACTGTGAAGCGCAATAAAAAATATTCATGCTTTATGAATACAAATTGAGTTTTTCTCTCAGTCTATAATCTATTCTATATATTATGTTAATAATATTAAACGTATATACTTTTTTAGAGCACCATTAAAAGCTAATCTATGCTTGTTTTTATGGCTGTTTAGGGGCACATTAGTATATAAAGCTGAAATACTATTACTTCGACATTTAACATGTAAGTACTCATGTGTTCACTTTATGTTATAACCATACCTATTTTCTAACAATTTGCGCAAATGCACCATGTTTATATATATATATATATATATATATATATATATGTATATATATATATATATATATATATACTGAGGAGACGTATAGACTCTAACTGGGGCCAGTCGTTCCACAAATAAAACTTATTTTTATAGTTTCGTACTAGACCTAAAGTACTGCGTAATCAACATCAACTCACGAAGAATGTCGTGGGTAAAATCGTTCCTGTAATTGACAAAAAAGCCGCCAAAATTATGAGTGAAAGAACAACTAGGAAACAGAATGATGTCAAGTTGACGAAGTACAAAGGCAGATTGTATGCATATGCGTATGGTCGATCTCGTGTTTGCACGGTCAGTATGAAGATTATCAACGCAAACACCTGAAAGGAGAAAATTATGCAGTAGTATAACTTTCATCGCTCCTCAATTTGAAGGGCTTAAGTTTTGTGGGCCTATTCAGTTTTCCGAAGACATGAATATTTTATAGCGCATAGTTATTTGAAGATGCTACGCGTACATTAAAGTATCCATATTAAACCACAGTACCATATATAAATGAGAAATATGAAATAAACAATAATTATTAGTTAATGTGGGCTTTTTAACATACCACTTCTAGGAAGGTAAGTATTCCGCTAACTGAAGATACGAATGATCGGTTAATTGTGATTACTCCTCCAGGAGAAGTTGTCGTCGTCGTTACCACAGTTGTCTGTCGGTACTGTGTCGACATTGTGATACAATCGACAGTGAATTGTACCGATAGTAAACGTGACTTGGTTTAGGTCAAAGTTTGTACCTTTTGCTCCACCAGGTCTGAATTGAACAATTAGATAACAACAACAAGAATAGGTTGCAGTAAACTAAATTGCTGGCTCACACACCTACGTATCACGGGGCCGGTCTTCGGTTTAAGTGTGCTCCGAAAGACAAATACTTATTGATTGAAATTCTTTATGTTTATTGGTTTATTGGTGTTTAGTTTTTATTTCTTTAGTGCATTACAAAAACGCTTCCGTTTTCTATGAAGGTATCCATAGTGAAAAGTGTATGTAGCTATTTAGCAATTTAGATCAAATTTAGGCTACTGTGTCAGATAACTATTAATCATCCTTGAGAAACGTATTTGATAATTGGCAAAAAAATGCGAGTAACTAGTACAGGCACCTGCAGGACATATATGTATACGAATTTATTGCTTGTGGCGTCGGCTTTGCGGATGGGTAAATGTCAAAGAATGCAAATAGAATTTTACGTGTTCGGACGCTCAGGAATTTTTAATTATATACTATTGTATTACAGCTACCGCGCCAGAGGACCGGGTGCTGTGCTTCATGTTCGCTTGTCTTTAAGGCTCATTCACGGTTAAACAGATTCATTAACTACATTTTGTTTTATTGTCGGTGGATAACTCCATAGCAAATAAAATACTTGCATATATTTTCAATCGTTTACAAAAATAAAGTAACTTTTTTGAGTTAACGAAGAAGAAATATAACCTTATGAAGCTTTTTGAACAATTTATCAGATTTAGGTTAAACGAAGTTCAAATTTATGGCGAGCCTGGTAGCAAAATATTGATCTCAGTGCGACCAGCTTTCAGACATGGCCGTTCATATTTGATTAAACATTCCAACCTTCTTATATGAAAACGTTTTAATTCTAACTCATTACTTATGTATTTTAATTGGAAGGAGTATTATATTATATAAATTATATTGGCAAAAAAAATTATATTCTTTATTCTTAACTGCTTTCGCGGTAGTGGAATGTAATAAAGTGAACGAAAAATAACTCTTCGGGCGATCTATCGTGTACGAAAAATGTACGAAGAGAGCGGTGAGGTGCTAATTTTTTCCTAGCTGAAGCATGCGTTGAAATTTTTATCTGCATGTTTGGGTTTGAATAGGCATAAAGTAACACCAGATCTTAAAATGCTCTATTGGGTTTGATGTGCTTCGAAGGTAATATGTTAAAAACGTACTTAATTTTAAGACGTGTTAACGTAAAACGTTAAAGGAAAACTCAAAATCACACCTTTTAATTTTGTCTAAACTTGACTATACTGATATAGGAAATGTTTTACCCCGTTAAAGGACGATGTTCGCAAAAAAACAATCATGTTAAATTTATAGCTTCCACATTTTCTACAAAGGATGCAATTAGAGCTGTACTTCCTCGGATACTCAGCTTGGCACATATCTGGCAATAAACAAGTATACAAAAATAATTTAGGTAGCAATAAATATTTAGTTAATGCACTTCAGTCGTTTTCCTCTCAGCATCCTTTCATAAGAACGTGTTTGGAGATTTGCAATAGAAAGTTAAGGCTCATTGGTGTAATTATACGTTAATATTAATACTGGCTCACACCGAATCAAGGCAGCAGTCAGATCGAAGTGCTTAAGTAGTATTCATTCCCATTATGTCAGGGAAGGGAGGGGGATTTAGTTAAAGTGGCATAAGGAAATACAAACGCCGTATTGGTCAATTCGAGGGAACGTATAATTTCGTACTGAATTTAAGAATTTTGCTTTATTTAGAGATTAAAAGGAAACATATATTAAGTAGTGTGCCATGTGACTCATCGTTATGGCAAGCATATATATCTTTTAACGCAAATATAGTTCCGAAACTTACAAGTCCATTCATAATCTTGAAAATTTAGAGAAAGTTCTATTTTAAAGGAAAATTACCGCTTAAAATATATTTCACCTAAATAGTTTCGCTGCACATGGCATGGTTCCTTTTCAATGACCTTATATGTAAGAACGAAAAGGAAGGACGTTAAAAAATGATTATCCCCTAGGATCTGTATATATGCGTACACATATATAATTTCAGAAATCTTTGAAAATTTGAGACATTCATTTTAGTTAGATCTATCCACTGAAGCACTACCACTTCTGCAACACTAGATATGATTTTGGCCGTCAAAAAACACGATAGCAAATCATCAGGTGTGGAGCGGTGTGTTAAGAATATAAAACTGCTCTATTTTAAGAACAACACAGAGCTCTACTTTATCCTGTATAATATTAGAGACAAATGCTCACTGTGTGGTTAATGTTACGTGCGACGAGCACGTAGTAATTCTCCTTGATAGGTTCCGTGCACGAAAGCCTAGCCACAGTCTAGTCGTAACAACAACTTCACTCCTTTTGCTGGTCTTCTTATTTCGTGCCGTTTGTGGGTAGATGCGCGCTGTCGCAAATAACATTGAATAGTCGCAACTAACCAGTTCTCAGTATGGTTCCCAGCGCGTGGGTTTCTACACTGCCATCGCTGACGTCAGAAAGGATATGTCGTCACGACAAATTGCCAAAATTTGAAGTTCGCGCGTTCAACCTATATCCATGTACATATTTATAACAACGATTTGTGCTGTTCCCTGTATAATACCCCCAATATACACTTACTTGTTGTGCTTTCAACTTTAAAATGTTTGAACAACGACGAAAACGAGGCGACGAGTAGACCTCTGTGTATATAATTGTGTACATAGAATTTATATACAATGTATGCCTCGGTGAAGCGTTTTCACTTTGTGTATTGCGAAATGCATATGCTCCATTATAAATGGACGGGTTTACGTTGCAGGAAAAACAATCTGCTCGTTTAATTTCAGGGCTAATCATCCGTTTCGTCTTCGCTTTCTTTTGAGTGAATACCATGAATGTTGCTGCCCAGTCGAAGCCGTAACAAACAGCAAATCCAGCAGCATCAGCACCTTAACGGCAGTTCAGCCACTTTCTGCGGGAAAAGGTCAGCAATCATTGGAATTGGCTAACCGGCCCTTGGAGCCGACAGCGAAAAATGTAAGTGCATAGAACCATAATAATAAATCATTGTATGCATTCTGTGTGTACTGGACAATAGAAGTTCAAGGCCTGTATCTGCATTGAATTCGTATGATCGTGAAAGATAGATGCAGGAGTGTAACTGATTTTGTTTGGTTCTGCATTTTATTAGAATTAAATGCGTTTTCGTAGCACGGTATAGGTCACGTCCATAAAAACATGCGTGTCGTCACTTTAGGAAACTGAAAAAATATCATACGAATTCATAGCGGTACATTTATCTGAGCAGACAATTCTGGTATACGCTAATATAGGGTATTTGTAGTGAGCTCTATATTAACGTACCTTGGCAATGGTATGCGTAAAAATAAAAAGGTAAATTACTGCTCAAAACCGAAAGATTACGGCGAATTATCTGAATCAAAACGGACTTGCCAAACTGCTATCCAGTTGTTATTGTAGGGTTCTCTGTGGATATACAACGGAATAACTGTTGTCGGCACAATGAGCAATTGTGTTAATGGAAAAGGAAAATCGGGGCAAACTGGAACAATTTTCTTCTATAAATGATATGTATGTTTGAAACGCATTCAAAACATTCCTACTCGGTATAGTTAACCAAGTCTACTATTTAAATAAGACTACGAACTAATTGTGAACAGCGTTGAGACTTAGCTGTTTGCCGTGGGTGAGAAAGTTATTCAAGCAGAATTAAGCAATATATTAATTACCTAGTGAGTCCTATATATTATGTGCGGCCAACATCTCCCCCACAAGCTTGCATCTCTCGCATAGAGTGGCAGTGCTGCTAGTCCAGCGTCATCCTACCATGATTTGTTGTGATAAATAATATGAGTGATCTCTATAATTTCATTGAAAAACGTTTCGGAATCTACTACACCATAAAATAGTTAATAATCAAGCAGCCGCAAAACTTTTTACGTACGTAATTTATCACGTTACGTGGCAAAATTCTTTTTAATGTTTTGATAGTTGAGTACGACTGTGCCTTGGGCAAATATTTATTGAACAGTTTTTGTTAGGTTTGGATCGACAATCTGCGTAGTATGCAAAGGCGTATGTTATTGAGCTGTTGGACTGGTATGCTATACAATTAATTAGCAATGGAAGCTCTCTATCTTGAGAAGAAGACAATAGTAATTATCCTTCAGAGTACATCTTAATATTAGCTACTAATATTCTCATAGTGGTACTGGATAAATAGAACTACCATTCACAAAATCGATAACACAATTTTACAGCGGTAAGGGAAGGAAATCTCAAATTGTACATAATAAAAAGGAAAACGTTCTATGTGATGAAGATAACGAATTTTGGCTATCCTTTTCACTATGTCAGATAAACTTGACAATAAATCCGTGAAGCGCTTAAACAACATAACCTAATTTTTTTTTATAAAAATGTGTAAGACAAAACAAACAGAATGTACAAAATTTAACTCATTTTGGACTTAACTTGAAATTACCTTTGAGTATTCCTTCTGTTAATTAAAGCGTATGTAACGTCGTAACACACACACGTGTTTAGTAGAAATCGGTTTCGACTCGGAATCACTTGGCGACAGCGTTTGTCAATTGAACACACCGCCCCTTAATAAACCAGTGCTAAGGGAAAGCCCTTTAAGAAGTCGAGGTCTGATCACTTCCGTTCTTGCTCGATGCTTTCGCCTATCGTAGTGTGAAGGAGGGTTATAGCATCGAAGCTACTGGGGCTGGGCATCAACAAAGCAATGGCGGCTGTATTGTAACCTATCCAATGAAATATGAATAGGAGACAGCGACATCGAACCTTGCATGACCCTTGGTTTCAATCGATACAACAGAAAAAGGCGGTTCTGTGCCAATTAGCTGTTAGTGTCCGACAAGACTGCCTCACCAGATATAGGCTAAGAAAAGGTTTTCGAGCAACTACAAAAGTCTTTACGATGTAGTACCCTGTCTTCGAGCTGGACGTTGAGAATTCAGTTGGGCCTGTTTCATCGGAATAGGCAATCACAAGAAAAATCACAGTTGACGAAATTGCGTTTTACTGTCATTTTTATGCGTACTGAGTAGCGGTACTCACCCAAATGCCTCCTTTCGTATTGGCTACTTATCGTGGGTTAGCTGCTCTAATATAAGCCCATTCCTGCGAGTACAGAAAGGGACTCATCTTTCGGTGAAACATGCTTTGTGCCTAGTTTGGGTTTGAGTCAGAGGCAAAAGCGTCCTTTTTGACTTGAACAGATATTGCTCACACCAAGAACAGACAGTTGAGATTCAAATTGGCTTCGAAGCGAGCTCAAAGAGAAACAGTGACGTGACCTATATAGACTGTATAGGTATAGAGCCTGATATATGATTATTATTACCTGGAAAGAAAGATACGATTGAGTGATCGTTCGTTATCGATACTATAACATGTCTTGTTAAGATGGTTTCAAAGGTAGACACACGGGAAAACTTCAAGCAAATCGAATCTCTGAGATTGCGGATAACTTCGAAAAATCTTTGTCTCACAACAATGATAATTATTTCGAGATGGCTCATCAGATGCTGATCTATGCCATTTATAGAGACAGGCTAGAAATTCGCCCATTAATTAATCTGTCTCTGGTAACTAATACTGCAAGTTATTTAATAGATAAATTTAGTTCAGTTAACATAAAAAAGAGAAGCTCTTGGTCCAGAAATGGAATAAACATATAACGAATATACGGTTATTACTGCTATTCTTTCATTTCTGACACACCTGGAAAACTTATCTAGCTTGACAAGAGCTTATCTAGTGAGAAAAAATCTTAATGCTCATTCATCTAAAGAAAATACGTCTCTATGGCCAATATAATCATGGATGTATATTCACCACCTTACACGGACATCAACTTATTGAGTTGTTGAAGTACTATTACCTTCCCGTTACGCCAATTTGCCAACAACTTCCACATCTACTTTTTTTTTTACATAAGTTGCTTAGAAAACCAAGCGTTCAAATTAGTATTTAATTCGACAACGTTAAGCTTGCGTCAAAATATCTACCACAGAATTCTCTATTAAAGGTGACTTTCAAGTATTTTTACCCAAAGCTATATTTCTAATTTTCGCGAATGGCCTCAAGGCAAATATTCGTGTGATTTATATTATATCAATATAATATAGCTGAAAATTATCAAATATTTTGAGAGTTGCGCATAAACTAAGATTGCTATTTACACCACTATATTCAGCACCCTAATGCTGTCGCTTTTTTAGCGCTTTAGGTTCACAAAATCTTGTTTTTTTTTACCTACATGTAATTAAACATATAGGTCCAAAGAAGTGTTTTCTATTCTTGTTAAAGATCGATTGTAAAATCTAATATGTTTGAATCTATTTAAAAGCCATTAGTTCTATCTATTCATCGGTGAAGGTTTTCGCTGGTTTTAAGTAGGCTAATTTACTGAAAAACAGCGGCCATTTTCTTTTTAGCTTAATACGCGCATCTGCTTATTTTACTAGATCTGTTCTATGATGCGGCGAGGAAAGGCCGGTCTTGTTCATTGCACTGACTTTTAGCGGCAAAAAATAACAAGGTATTTATTGCAAACGGAGAACACTTGGAATCAGTCGGTATTTGGTTTCACTAGCTTTACTATTTTTATATTATTTCCGTCATATAAGGACCCTAAATGCAGCCAATTATTCGTCTGATGTGCTAAACAGTAGTTATCAAAAAAACCTGCATTTTATCAGAGAAATCGTTAAATTTCATATGTATAATATATAAACTCGCTATATTATATAATCAAATACTTTATATGATTGAAAATGAAAATGGCCACTTATTTTAATATGCTGGGCTATCTATTGTGTGTTTCGATGGCGAATTGAGAAATGAAAACTGGAGACGTTGTAGAGGGTAAATGGTGTTATTCGTCTTTTTTTTTAAATGGTACTAGAGAAAATTATTTGTCGTACGTTGGTTTTGTTCCATCGTAATATTTGGCGACACAAATGTTGTTGTTGCAAGCCTCGTTCTCAGTATTGTTATTTTGTGTGAAAGTTACTACCCAACGTTCGGTACGTTTTGCGTAAAACAAAAATTATACTTTCTTGGTTCGCTACATGATTCTTCCCGGAGAAGATATAGTTTCCTTGTTAGTAGCTTTTACGAAGAGCTCCATACTATTTGATAGATACTTTTTTCCTAGAGTATAACTATTTACAAGGGAGCCAGTGAAAATATTCAATTACTGTAAGGTAAATGTGTTGAGATTTTTGTGCGTGTAGAAGGGTTAACGTTTTGAATTCGTACCCGCTGCATTATCATGTGTTACTGTAGAAAATGCCTCAAAAAAGCTTTTACAAGGCACAATTTTATAGAAATGGGATATTAACATGTGTAGTTTATGAACGATTTCTGTGTAAATATAATTCGATCAAGTTTTACCAAGTATAGTAATCTTTACCTGTCTCCATACTACAATGCAGCTGTAACAAAGATAACAAGGGTACTCCATCTGATTTGAAAAACTATTTTTTACAATAAGATCTCTAACTGCGTCAATATTTAATGACGGACAATGGTAATTTGAAGTGTGAATATTTTCGTAGTCAGTTTCTGAAATTGTCCGTGAAAATGTTGTTAAATTACGTATGATTCAACCATTTTACAGACTCATATCATTCCTACAATATTGGCGCGTTGCGCAAAATATTTAAAATATACTTTCATGCAGACCTTCCGAGTTCTTAATTATTCACATACGTTCGTTCTTGCCCTTGATCTGTATGTACATATTTAAGAGAAATGCTAACTCATATAATGAATCAATGCTCAACCAGAAATGAGCTGACAGGTCATTCATTTTCTGTTGGCTGTTTGCATTACAGGAAAAAAGGTAGCTGTCGCTGCTGCTAATTTTTGTTTAAGCTCCGTTGAGGCAGTTGTCGAGGAGAAATTATTCTTCAGGGGTATTTGTAGGAGGAGGTTCGTAGAGGTGCCTCTTGTAGAGAAGGTAGACTATAACGACGAGCGTGGCGCAGATGAGCACCACCAGAGATTTGCATACAGCAGAACGACAGAAACTGCCCTGTCGTAATCTTACGGATGACGAAGAGACTCTCTCTGGCTCATGGATGTCTCTAAAAAATCAAGCAGTGACATAAATGTATGATATTTACTCTTCATATTATTTATATAATACACTTTATATTTGCGGGATAGATGATGAAATTATGTTACCAGTTATGGCAAATTTAGTTATTATCTATATATATTTTACGCGCAAAAATAGGTTAAATTCCTCATTGATTTGGAGCTATCTCGGTTTTATATCGTGTTCCTTCACGTGTACTAAAATGTTTGTAATATTTTTTTAGCGGGCGTTATTAGTCGTTTCAGGCTTTGGCCTGTTGAGCTTTAACAAAACTATTAATTCACGGTTTACATCATCGAATACAAAGGTTTGACACGATAAGCGGCTGAACTGCACTGATGAAAAACTGAAAAAGTTTAATTTTAATTAGCGCCGTTGCTCGCCATGACCCTTGCCGCTATTGGGTGTTCATTTGTTTCCAATAAACCTATGTTTGGTGTGCCCTGTTTCCGACGAATATATCTCATTCGTTTTTTTGTTCATATGAATTTGAAATACATTTAAAATGCAGGTTCCATCTTATTTGTACATACGTTGCCCTACCATATAAAATAAAAATATGCTCCATGAATGAGAACGTTGCGTCTGCCACTAGCCCAAGATCACTGCCTCTGCTACCTTCGCGTCCACCATTTTTTTACGTTTGGTGCTGCTTCCGCCGCCGCCGCTGCTGCTGCCAAAGCCTGCAGGGTTTGACGCCACAGGCAGGTAACACACATTGTACAGCACAACTAATTGTGACGCAATTTTATTATATGAAAAGAAAACGACGGATAGCGGCAAGAAGAACAGTGAGTGTAATAACTTTCATGACAAAATAACGCTTGCACGTAATCAACTATGTTCTCATCTACGACGGAGTCCGTGACATTATATGTATGTAATAGATAATTTCATATAATCTGATAATAATCTAAATATAAATGATGGCAAAAGTCTCGTTCCAAATCCTCATAAACAAATATATTCGTAATAGGTTACTGATAAGTGATCTTTCCTATTGACCATACATTCCCTATCCGATAATGAAATCTTCACGTTTTCGATAGAAATAAATATTTGAAGCCGCTCCGAATCGTTCGCTCGGTACTATAAGAAAAACGAATAAAATAATGTCATACATTGAACGTATAATACTGTTAACATTGAAAAATTAATTTATATTCATATGTCAAATAGGTATTTTATGTCAAAGTTAAACATCATCTCACGAAATAACTTTTTTTTCAATCCGCTGTGGTAAAACCACGACGCTGACCATGAAAATAGGCTGATGGTGGGGGTAGAACATCGTATAGAAGGTGATTGATTCTAAACCTTGGCCCCCCTCGATCGCTTGTAAGTCGACTGATAATTAGGGAATTTTCCTAAAATGGCTAAAGAGACGTGAATCGATCCTGATGAAGTTTCTGTTTTTCTGAACGAGCAAGTTGGCATATATATGAGCGGAACTTCAAGGTTAAGCCTACGCGAATACCGTCAATCTGTTTTGGATAAATTTATACACTCGTATAGCTCTAGTTACGATAAAAGATTAAGTAAAAAATGTTAAGAATCGCCGTGGGCCTATCTCATAGTTTAGTGACTCATATATAAAATCATTATTATACTGTTAGGTAAGGATACTGCTAAATAGACACTGTTTTTTAGGCGAACTTATTGTGCTGATTCTAGCTAGCATTGCATCAATTCCAATGCTAAGACTAATGTATTCGTAAGTAAAAAGCAATGCCTTCCTGAAAATGACCGTCACCAAATAGACATCAATTACTCAATAGATAACGCTGAGATAGTTGCACTGGTAAGCTGAATAAACAACAAGAGAAATGGCGACGGGGACGTTTCATGTGAAAGCTAAGCTGAATCACAACGGCAACGTCAGTGCGTATCCTCGTCATGCGTTCGATGAACACTAAAAATTAACAAACAGTTATAGTCATTTACTAATAGTAGGGATTGTCCAATCGCTGCGAGAAATATCGCGTAGTGTTGTTTACTTATGAATACTTGGTACGTAGTATCGGCACGTAACACATCAATTTAAAGAAAGACGATTCGGTAGATCGTGCTTCAGTCGTTGATAAGCTTTTTCCATCTATCTAATAATACGTATGCAAGTACACTCGACGAGTGTCGACACTTAAAGCTTCTTAAAACTTAAAACTGTCTACTGATAAAATATGTGGGTTATAGTTGTGGGTGTCGCTTTGTCTCGAAAGAAGTTTCTTTAGGAAATATAGAATACAAACATTCTAAACTGATTTACTATTACCCATGACTTCCGTAGGCCGGAAAACACAAAGACAGCTTATGTGTACCATCGTACATACAGGTACTGATCGGGATAAAACAAGCGGAAGTGCCGAAAATCATGCATAATTTATGATAATGGTTTTCTTCTGTGAATTATGATTGCCTCTGTAGCTGTGAGAAATCGATATTCCATTTCGCACAAAAGGTGATGTACTCTTTGACTCAATTTGGTGGAAAATTTCAGTTCTTGGAAAATCTTGCTTCCACTTGACGCTCACAGCACGCACCCCTTTCCGTGGTGTTTTCTGGTGTCTATAAGAATTTAACTATATTTTTAAGAAATAAGTTTGCTATCAGAATTTTCCTGTTCAAAAAAATGTCGACTGTTGAAATCTGTTCAAGTGCCATAGGACACTTTTTATATGAATAACCAAAGGGCACTCGTAAGAACGTGTAACATTTTTTTTTAATGAGAGGGAAAAGAAAACATTTTTAAAAGCGCACATGAGGGACTATACTGGCGTTTGCACACAAATGAAATTGCATACTCGCACGACTTGTTGTCTAAAAATTAATCATTTGCCCCTTCTGTCAAATTACTAGTGACGAGATTTACTCAACATGTTGTTTATTTTCAATAGCAAGTATTCGTAAGTATAAGCTTAGTACCAATTCGTAGTTCCTCAAGAAAAACGCCGGGCAAATGATTTCACTGTGTCTGATGTGGTACACTTAAAAATATTTCTACAGATCGTCGCTGGATGATTAGTTCAGTGAACGCCGCCGCTTTTATATCTGCTAGTCAGATAAAATCATCAGTTACGTTAGCCAATACATTGTTCAAAGAGTCGAAATCTGCTCACGTAGCCATGCAGTGACGACATGAGATGTGGAACATCAAAAGAAAATGATACAGTAGAATATTTTAGTGGAGCTCGGTGTTTATCTTTCTGTACAGATTCAGTCCGCCTCTATGTCGTCTAATGTTTAACCATCGAGTTAACTAGGCTTTGCGCGTCTATACCAGCATCGATGTTCAGCGCTCCAGCATAACAACGATATTCAAAATGTCAGAGGATGAGATGCCCAAGAACACAGATCACCACCAACCAAAATCTCCCTTTGCCTCTTCCGGCGCGCACACACGTTAGGCCCGTCAATGTCTCCGCTCCATCTGAGATACGTGTTTCGATTTGTAGCCATCTTTCCCATTGACTATCCATAACCACAATAGCAGCGGTCTCTGAGCTACTTGCATTGCAAGTAATTTGCAGTGACGCAAACATAGGGACTGCTAATACTACCATATCTATTACCTATTTCTTCCTCTTTTTTAACAGTAAGGCGATAAGTAATTATCATAATAATTTCGATAATAAAAAAATGAAAAATATCTGCCACATAAACGTACTTCATCGACTGATGTTTATCATTTGACGACTATGTTCTGTGAGGTTTTGATTTGAGAGGTGCGAAATGTACAGCAAGCTCAATATTCTTCAATCAAAAAATAACACGTAAGTTGTTAAGAGTGTACGCATTGGCAGATTAAGTAATATTTATCTTATTTACCTAGAACCATCGTCGATTAAGTTGATCAGTTAAGTATAACACCCACTGTTTCCGACCTAGTCTCTGCTTTAATACTGAAATCCGGGCAGACGAGGAGCAAACTAACAGCTAGACATTGATCGAATTGTTGCGAACTCGATTTTTCCTGTGCACTTTTCACCAGAGGATTTGACCGCCTTGCTATCATTGACGAAACTGTTATGGCATTAATTAGCGCAAATTAGACAGATATTGCCATGTCAGACATCTTCAGGGTGTCCGCCATGTTAACCGGTTTAGATTTTTGGCAAAAAAATTCGTTATGTGTAAACGAAATGAGGTCAACTGCAACTTAGAAAATATTTGGCACCGATCGCTTTTAACGTAAGTACTATACAAATATAAGAGTTTTATTCGGATCGAACACATGACGCTTTTTTATGTTATATCAAGGCTTCTGTAATCTGGCATACATCCATGGATTACATACGTTCTACGTATATATAATATTTTTACAGCAGCCACCAAAGGTAGCTGGGGAGACTACAAAAGGAAACAGTCGAGTACTGTCTTTAGAACTTCTATCTTGATACACAAGCTGCACAAAAGAGCGCAGTCAATAATCTTTAAAGATGGCCGATTCTCTTGTTACGACCTATTTAAACGAAATACTACAATATCTAAGTTATTCCTCTACTCTATTCTAAGAACTGTTAGCGTTTAGTTGCAACCACTCCTAGGGTTATGATGGGCAGTTGACGTTCTTGTGATGGTACACTTTGTTTACGGACGCATCAGGTAACTTAGGCTTTAAATCGAGCGTAGATACACGGTTTACGTCATACTGAAAGGAATAAGCCGCCTGGGGCAACGCTTAGCAACAGTACCAAACGTAAAACAAAATGCAATTTTTGTATGTCCTCTTGAGAATCTTGTGAAGTCTTTTACGCGCTTAAACTTTGCGCAAACTAGCAATTTTTTGGCCACCCTGTCCTCGTTAATACAATATAAAAATATAACAAAAAGGAAAGAAGGAAAAAGTATGTTTCGTCTAATTCTCAATCAGTAGAGCTGTATCAGTGCTAGCTGCCTAAAGAACGAATTTGGGCTTTGCACCTATGACCCGGCAGATAGATTCAATAGAAGCTGCATTATGCTCAAATAGGTTAATTCCACTAGTTTGATCTAAGCCACGCTGAGACTAGACGCGTTGTGGCGATATTTCGAGCTTCCAAAAGAAACGACAATGGATTTTATAGTATTTGCTTCCCGTGGCAAAGACAGCCATTGTTCGCGCGATAAAGGTATCGGCCGTGGTGATTTCGTCATGTCAGCCTACACACGAAGGCTTAAAGAAAACAGCGAATGGTCCGGAAGGACACTGGTTCGAAGTAAAAATGGTTCATTCTTTTTGGTTTTCAATGACAGGGCAAAATTTTAGAGTAGAATTTCTGTAAATATTCACTGCGAGAGTTGCAATATTGTTAATAGTAAATAAAACTGATCATATTTTTTACTAGGTTGCTTATATATAAGCGATATCGATATATGAATAATTACTTAAACTGCATGTAACAGATGTCAAAGATACATTTTATTGAGTAGCCATAATAGAAACTGAGTAAACTGCAAAACTCTGTTTTCCAAAATTGTTTCAACACATTGGTCTCAAAAAAGCTGTGCAGAAAAATACGGAGGTTTGAGACAACACCACGTTCTATTTTTATAAACTTCGACATTTTAAACAAATTCTGTTCCAAAGGGTCGGTTGTCGATCACTACTGGCTAGTCCCTATATTTTGAGGCTGTCGTATAGCTCTACGGACAACCTCATGACTAAAACTCCTAATAGACATTTCAATATAGGTATGTATTAGGTGTAATAGTTGAAATAATCGTTATAATGTTGTTACCTATTCTTCACTCTAGATTCGTTCAAATCTTTATCCCAAATGATTTTGCATTTGGCAGTTTTTCTAGCTAATTTTTCTGCGATCACATGCGTTTCGAACGATGCAAAAAATCTTTGTTTGTTTGTTTGTTTGTTTGTTTCATTATCGTTTGTATCTTATGATTAACTATCATGCTGTCGCCTAAATTGTAGTACTGTTTATTCTTTGTTCTGCTTTTATGCTCGATGACAGCCAGTGTTAGATGGTGTCGGGAAGCCTTACGAATTATCTACTCAATATGCTTCTTATCATAGTGTTTTGTTCAGATCATAAAAAAATTGACTATTGGATTTGAATTTCAAAATATATGTATGTCTCTTTCTCAAACGCACAGGATCGACATTTTAGATTCGAAAGCCGTAATATATCGAAGTCAATTCAGAGGTGAATAAAATCAACTGAACAGCCTACTAAAAATTAATTTAAAAAATTAATCAATTTAAAAAAAAACAGAAGTATTTATTGCAAAATATAAATGTGGTTTTTATCGCTGCTTTATATTTCTTGTATATCCTATGTCCGTAATCTTTTCATCAGCTCTCAAGATCATTTTATTTTTCCGTAATTTTCCTTAAATTTTGTTAATTTAAATTTCATTTTTTATCTTTTAATCGGTTTTGATTCACTACTTTATATTGTCACGATTTTTTTGGTTGTTATGACGGCGACAGCAAAGGCCGGGCTCGCAGAGCGATGAGTTAGCTTTCCAACGGCACAGAATATTTAAACATAACGAAGCACGCAGTTAGAAACAGGCACCAATGAACAAAACAATATAATGTTGTAAAGTGTTTCGGTTATTCCAATGAAAAGATTTAAACATATAAGGCTAGTCGCAAAATGAGAACCAGTACTAGAGTATAAAGGATCAAGTCAAGTCTTCTCCAGTTATTTTGAAGTTAAGAAAAGCTAGAAATAATAACTGCAACTACTTCTCCAACAAGGATGATATATTAGAGACAGGAAAACGGAAGTATAATATAGTTGCTACTGTATAAAAAAGAGGTGCATCCTAAGGTGCGGCTATGTTCAAACAATGTATTAGCAAATTTATCAATTAGCATATTGCAAGCCCATCACTCAACCGAATTACAGAATGAGTATTTAGTAGTTTTAGTAACAAATAAGCGTACTCACATTTGTTCATTATGCTCCAAAGACTTTCTAATTTTTGGAGATTTGAGCGTTTTAAGGGTTGCTGGTGGCGTCTCATGCCACGTTCCGTATAAATCCTGGTCGTCAATCGTAAAAACTGATAATTCAGTCATTTTTTTCCAGATCGATAGGAATGATCGACAACGGCTCTCTTATGCAATTTCACACATGTGGGTCAGCGTAGCTTTGTATGCCCAATGCTAACCCTCTGGCAGTATGCTCTCGAGTAGACTACTGACCAGATATAGTTTATACTCAAGGTGTATCCTTGAGGTATGTTCTCTCCAGCTTCGTACAATAGGTCGAAGAACTTTGCAATATCCCGCTTATAACGGTGACATTTAACACTTACAGATATTCTGTGTATACACTCTGCCTTTTGTTAACTTATCGATTCAGCTTCGTATTATTGCTTGCTTAACTCTCTTTTAGTTTACTTCATTGAAAAATTACAATCTCGGCATATTGTTTCCACACAAGGAAAGAGCCGTGGCTAGGAATGCTTAAAGCCCTGTTACTCGTCGAATCTGTAGCGGTTGTATGACATGTCACTATTTCCTTCTGTCACATACTGTCCTGTGTAGTCCTCGAGCTAAATACAAATCAACTTTGCTTTGTGTTGCGGTATCGATTTTTGGCCGCAAGAACTCCTGGCGCGCTACTATGTCTGCTCTCGAGTATTAACTTTATAGCTAAGCCGCACTTCTCTGAGGATGAACATCGCAGCTGACCTATCATTGGATTTATTTGGTTCCGCAACAATAGCGACAACAAATAGCAGGATGGTAATCAATGCAGCGATTAAGAAATGCAACTATCACTTGTATCCGACGCGGTCCTAGGTCAGCCCAGACAGGTCATCTGCGCCTAAATCTTCGACCGTTTTATTTCGCTTTAATTCGGCCACGTTCACACTTTTCTACCAAATATAAGCACATAGGTGATGAGGTAAGAGCAACAACGGTGTGCGCTTTCATACATTAGCCTTGACAGGGAGCCTGATTTTTCATTGCATATCGTTGTTCCTCCTCTAATCGCTACTGCTACCCACAACACTGGTTACTCCAATGATTTTAGTAAAACTAGAATAAAACGAACAAAGATACAAAACTCGATCTCCACGATATCTTCCATAATGAACTTTCTGACGTCGTCGTCGTTGTTACCGGCGCTCTTGCATATCGTTGCACTTGTTTTCCCAATGCACTGCAGTAACAGTTGGGACCGGAAGTCATTTGCAGTCATTGCCAGAGCGATGGAAGCAGTGAGAAAGTTTAATGCCGGTGCTAAATTCACCGTTAACGTTTTTTGCCAAGTTTTTCAGTCACCCTTAAAATAAGCACTGCCGATCGTAGACAGGCGCTACTGGACGAAATTACGCACGCGCATACACCGCGTTGCTCTGATAGTTGGCTTAATGTTACTGCATCGAGAATGGCATTATTACAGTTGACAATTGATATAGTTGTCTGTATCTGCCTTATTTTCAGTTAAGCGTAGACTTCGCAGGATTTTCTCAGGAGGAAGTGCAGTGCACATGCACCACATAAGTCACTTTCCACTCAAAAACCGTTATAGAGATCTCTACAGATACAGTTGCCACGTGCTTTCCAAACTGCTCTAATGTTCGTTGGATGCGAATGTGGAGTAATCTCCACCTAAACTGAACCATCTTAGAAGGTGCGGCGCCCTTGTGCACGACTCTATCCCCTCTCAAAAATCCCATTTTCGCCCTCGCCTATTGGTGAGGAGAACACAATGCTGTGGAGACAACTGGCAATGCCTCTTAGCTTTTGCTGTTTTCGCCAGGATCCTCTCCAATAGCCATCGCCTGTCATGTATTTGGTCCGTCAACTCATGTGCTGTCGACGGAGACGAAAATACGGAGCCTCAGGCAGTCAGCCTCTTGTCGTTTGAAGTATATTACAACCGCCGACGGCGTTGCTGTTGCTTCTAGCCAATGGTCGATGTCATTCAAAATCGAGATCCTTCGTGAACGCGCGCGAATTTGCCTCGCTTTTACCGGGGTCCACCGCTTTGTTGTAACCATCACCACTATCCTCGTTATCATCATCATCATGACCATCGAATTTATTGCCTCTGCGGCTTTGTTTTATGATTGTGTTTTAGTGTCTGTTATCACATACTCGCTAGTAGCATAATATTTAACAGACAATAGAACTAGGGAAAGTGGAGCGCTGAAGTGACTCTTCGTTTAAAAGGCGATTCCTCCGACAGCGACTCTGGAAATGAAAACGACAATATATGCTAAGGAAAGCGCAGCGTCGCGTACCACGATCGGTGCTGTCTGCAAAAGTTCGTCTATCGTGTTTGGTTACGTTCCGTAAAACTAGAGACACTGAAGCTGCTGCTGTCGCTACCGTAGATAAGTAGATGGTTGCTTCTGGTGACGGCAGTGACGAAATGCTGTGGTCGTTGGGTCTCAGCAGAGAGTTGTTGGCGTCAGCACACTGAGGCAGGGAATGATAGTTCCACGATAAACCACAGCGCGCGTTAAGCACAACCGCGTACCGTAAGCGCAAAATGAAGAAGAATAATAAATGTATGCGTAGAGGTAAACGGACACAAACGTGCATACATATATACACGTATATAGTACATTCAAAACCAAAGGCCGTGTTTGTTTTACTATTGTTTGGCTTCACTGTGTAAAAAAACTGCGTTGCGTATCTGTAGAAGACAGAATAAGCTACAGGGATGCAAAAAATTACTAGAGAAAGTACCAAAGGCATCAAGTGTATCTTGAAAAACCATATTAGTGGAAATACGGCATGATGTCGGGTGTGTACGTATGCGTAAAAATTGAATCTAGTACACCCAGATGGTAATTAGAAGGCTAACTAGTAAATATTATTAAATCTGGACAGTCGAAACAAACTACTGCTACTGCTAGTTTCTATTCTACGGAAGATCCTTTTCTCTACAAATCAAAACCCTCTTTGAATTAGGTGTAATGTATTCACGTCAAACATATGAGTTTGTTATACTAAGACGTACATTGTTAACATCTTCGCTTTGTTTTTCTTTCGTATCGTTTATGCTATTTTTTACTTAGACAACACTAATAATCAATGTCTCACAATAAACCAGGAACAAAAAAGACCTTTTCTTCACAGTAATCGTGTGGTACATAAATTATTCTTTGAGATCATGAATTTGTGTTTAGTTTCGCTTACTTTCAATATCCAAATTTTCGACAGAACGTACAAGGGAACTCGATTGATACATCTTTTTTTAGACGCACTTTACTGATAAGTATAAATTTAATTGTTAGTTTTTGACTAAAAAAAAGAAATAGACGACAATATCTAGATGCACTAACCTAAGGACGTAGCCTATAAATAAAGGCGTATGCATAGACGAGCACTTATAAGACAAACTGAATTTTTTCGGTTTTAAACATAGCCTGAGTCTTAAGCTATTCGTTTTCGCTCTACGTATAAATAGTCAAGTTGTTATTGCTGTAACAATCTTACGTAACAAACCTGTTTTGACGAGATTATCGTATAACTTTTGTGGGTATGTTTCTCTCATATATGATTCGCCGATATTGCGTACAGCTACAAACGGATTATAACGTCTTACATGCAGTTCTGCAACGATTACGAGTGATTTTAACAAATGATCACAATCGGGAGTACTATAACTCAAGTGTAACTTTCGTTGGACAACGCAAAAGTACAAGTGCGCCATTAAAGACTATGTCCTGCATAATAGCGATAATCGAAAGAACACTTAGCCATCTTTTGTCGCAGAAAAGTCCCTGACAATGATTCAACTTTAGAGCACGCTAATCTCTCCACAGAATCTTTCCTTATGAATCCAAAATTAATAAAGCATAGAAAGCCATAAGCCAGATTTTACCCCCATACAAGATTTGGACTAAAAATAGAATCTTGCCAATGTATCACTATGACCGTCTGATCATCTGCTATGAGTTACGTCAAGAGGCATAATTTCGAAGATACAGCCTGCACACGCCTTCCCTCAACTTCTCGATTTCCGCCAGGTTATTAGTCATACATGATATATTTTGCAACCGGAAATTATCCAATGGAATATGGGCTAGATCTTGGACATTGGCTGCTATGTATGGATACTCCCTGTTTGCGGGTTCTATTCTGACGCATAAACAGCTAATAAAATTAGGGCAATCGGCGAACAGCAATGGAGTACGTGGAATTTTTTAAAACAAAGCCATTTTGTGTCTTCTGCCAACAACCTGCCTCATTCATACGATGGGACGACGCGGCTGCGTAATACTCTTTTTTTTATTGTATGGCTAGTACGACTCGGATAAGGCAATTAGTAATTGAACTCATATCGTTAGCTGTGCAATATTGCTATTTGCTGAATAGGTCTCTAGATACCATTGGAGGGCAGGTGTCTGCCGATATTCTGTCTTCGTGTATGTACCTTGCTTGTAAACTGCTATAAACATCTCAATTTCGGATTTGGAAACATTGAGTAGTGACAGTGAATAACAGTAGCCAAACATGATGGACTAAAAAATGAGATTCGATCAAAAACGCCATATCTCTTAGAGATTACTGAGGTCTACAAAGAGGCCCCATTATTCGCAGCTCATTTACGGCTCATTCAGTTAGAAAGTATGGCGTTCGGTCGACGTTTACGGGGTGCAGTGAGAAGAGTTTCGCAAATGATCTAGGTAAAGACGATATTAGTAGAGTATTATTGTCTTTCCTCTTTGAGTATATGGGATATTTAGTTTCACCTAATTTTTACTCTGCTTTAGACAAGAACGCATGCCTACGCCATGAAATAGCTAGAGTTACATCTTATTTTTATTAGGATTCTATTTTAAACGTTAGCACGTTGATTGGGTTAAGTGTATTGGAACTATGTTGAAATGTGTTGCGATGCCTGTTTTCACTGTGGCTATTCGAGCAGTGAATGGGGTAAGATTGAAATCGCAATACGCGTTTTCTGGAAATCGGTCTTTTCCTTAAGCAGCCTGGGAAATAACTATTAAAAGCATCACCGTTTTACAGAGAACTCAATTACCGTCGAGCCAGCGGCGAACCCACGAAGAGCCGATCTCTGACGGAAACACCAACATAAAGGATAAAATAATTCGATAACGTCAAGCGTATCTGCCTCAGCGTAATGAGTACGCTACTCAAGCTCTTATCGTTTATAAATGTGAACACATTCGAATTCCAAATGCCGTCCCTATAATTTATATCTTAATGTTTCTCAAGGGTTTTCACGGAAGTGAAACAATTCTGCATGTACAATTCCCACTGGAAAGCTCCGTAATGAAAGGACTCTGTTTAGTGACTATTTTCATGCATGCTTCGTGCAACACCCGCGCTAAACGCGGCAAACATATTTAGTTTCTTAGTTAGTTCTAGCCACCCATTCGAGCGCAGTGAACATAGAAAGATACACTATTATAACAGGTTTAGTAATGTCATATTGAATTAAGTTTTTTCGTTCCTGTTGCGCCTCAATTAACTACAGGCTGCCACTGCAAAGAGCGACAGTGAATGTATATTTAGACGTGTCTGACAGGATACCGCCATTGTTTGTCGATGACGGTCGCCATGACGATAGTGTATTTGTTTTTCAACACATATATATACGGAGTTAAGAGTAGAACATTTAAGACTTAATAAATCACGTATTGGCTCTTAGTTGGCTGAGCTACCGCTGCACAATAATATATATATATATATATATATACATAATAGTTAAGTAAATAGTATTTTGTGTACATAAGGTCTTTGTACATATAATGCTTGAAACATCGGGGAAATGTTCGACGTAGCTACAATGCTACAGTTTCGCAAAAAACTGCAAAAGTCGAACAGTTTTGATGGTTCTTTCCGTATGATCTTGACGAGAAAAAAAAGCCATGAAAATGATAGGTCCGGTCCGGGACCAATATTTCTTTACGTTCAGAAAAGTTCCCCTGGATGAATAGACTTTCCGACAGTTTTTCAACTGAGCAAACTGTTTGTTCGAAACCGTTTCTTTTTTTTAATCCTCTATAGAATAGGCCAAAATTTGAAAATAATTAAATTCGTTTGGAAAAGTGACGAGCTATCGGTAGCACAGGGACGATTTAGTTACGCTACAAGTGTGATACGGCTGTGATAAAATCATATTTATTATACTGAACAATAATAATGAAAAACCGAATTAGTGTGGTCGAAATGACATAACAGAATAATGGGGCACAGCAAAGTGATGACTCGAGCGGCCACCCACGGAAACAGATGGCATTCCTACAATGAGAAAATTACAATCAGATAACGATTGGGATCAAATATAAAGCTACTGTTATTTTAACAAGAAACTAATATTTTCCAATGGAAATTTTGCTTGTTTATCTGTGAGTTAATGTGGAGACATTTCTGGGTATCTGGAGACATCTGTCGCTTATAGAACGGCGCTAGAAAAATAAATGTTTAGTTCCACTTGTCACGTGTGAGTACACGTGACTATTATTAGTATTTTTGAATAACATCTAAAAGCAGCCCTTCTCAAGTTATTGAGGATCAAGCCTTTAACTTGAAATAGGTTATTTTCGAGTTTTCGATAGATTCACTTCTAATAACTGAGAACTTTGATAACCTTATACAAATATATTTTCTTTTAATATCTA